GACATTGAAACATATTAGGAATGACGTTCTTAAATATATTATTTTCGCATTCTCTCGTGACTTGTGTCAGTGTCTTCTTTTATGTATACTTTTCTATTTCGATAACTAAACGTATGAACTATTATGCTTTAATACTACATTTTTTGCTTATTGAATATCTTATTGTAGTACACATTATTTATTCTCGCAAGAAAACATATTTTGAATGAAATTTTTTTCCCCTATTTTTTTCTTTATTTTTTAAAGGTAAATTCTCTATAAAAAATCTACTATTTTTCGTTTACCATACAAAATCATAGATTTTTGGTACATATTTTACCCTTGTTACTTACACAATTTTAATACAATATTGATGTATTATTTCTTTCATCTTATTTAGATTTAACATCTGAAACAGTTTCACAAAATGAGAATTTCTCAATTGTTGGTGTGACCAAATCAGATTCAAGTACATTTTTTCCTGATTGCGAGAATGAAGAATATGAAGCAGGTAATAAAATGGTTTAACTTATTTATATTGATTACATATAGCATTTCATAGTGAAAAAATCATGTTTTAGTTACATTTATGAATATGGTTTCTTTATCATGTTCAATTTATGTTGTGTTTATTTTTTGCTTATTTATTAACACGTTCATATAAGATCAATTTATAAGGATGTCAAATTGCTAAAATCAAATGCCTCATTTAAAGAAAGTTTGTGTTTCATCTATTTGTAATCTTCTCCTTTTTTTTTTTTTTTTTTTGTTCAACTTCGTTATTATGTTTTCTATATTTTTTGTTATACAGATACTTCTAACCATTAAGATTTTGTTGATTTATTTGAAAGTGTTGAGGATTATTATATGGATAAGGATCCAGATAATGATACATAAAAATAACTAAAAATAAGTTTCATGTATTATATCTCATGAAATGAATTCCTTTTTAATTTTTATTTAGTTTGTTTAATTGCTTTTGCTTTATTTTTTTTAAATCTACATTTTTTTCAATTATAGTTTAAATGCTTGTGCCTTATTTCTTTTTAAATATATGTTTTTTTTCCAATTATACAGGAAATGTTTTTGTATTTAGTACTCCTTGTTCTAATGAAGTTTGTAACAATAGTGTTGGACCAAGTAAGTTTATCTG